GCAGGCTGCCTGGGCCGCCCGCCGCCCGCTGTGAGGCGGACCCTCCGTTTGATATGCACAGATTATAAGTGCGTTTTATGTAGGAGAGATGGCAGAGGAAGGATTATGTTGAGTCTATTAATTACAAGAGGCTTTCTTATCTCAGGTGTGAAATCGTGAGGGGGACTTGGTATATTAGAATTGTAGGGGAAAATGGTCTTTCTGTTTTTTAGGGGTTTTTTTAGAATTTTGTTTATTTAATCTTTTTATTGATTTCAGAGAGGGAGGGAGAGGGAGAGAGATGGAAACATCAGTGATGAGAGAGAATCATTGATGGGCTGCCTCCTGCACGCCCCACACTGGGGATTGAGCCCACAACCCAGGCACGTGCCCTGACCAGGAATTGAACCGTGACCTCCTGGTTCATAGGTTGATGCTGAACCACTGAGCCACGCCGGCCGGGCGGTGGTTTCTTAATTACAGCTAACATTCAGCGTTGTTTCTGTTAGTTTCGTGTGTACAGCATTGTGGTTAGACAGTTATATAATTTGCAAAGCGACCCTCGGGTGCCTGGGGCCCCGCCGTCGCAGTCACTGTGGTCTTGTCAGCCCTGCTCCTGGCTGCGTGCATGCGCCTCCTCCACGCGATGGAGGCCCCGGAGCGTCCACCTCAGGCGCTCGGCGTAAGCCCAGCCTGTTGGTGTGGACACTTGTCTGGTTGGGTCTGACAGCTTCACAAGCAAGCGTGGGCCCGGGTTCTAAAATGGGTCGCCTTGGCGGGACGCCGGGGCACCGTCGGCACATGACTGTGTGTTTTCAGTGCAATCTTGAAACTGACAGTTTTAAAACATCCAGGCTTTTGTTCATGCTCTAGTCACCCAGTGGGCTGTCTTGCTTGAATGTGCACTAATTGAACCGCTGGGAGGGATGTGAGGTTCCATCCCTCCGGCAGGAAGATGTTGACGATGCAAAAAGAAAAAGCAAAATTTAAGACAAAGGTTCCTTGTGCATCAACTGTGATGGCAAGAATAGGTGAGCACTGGCTCTGTAACGCTGGTAAATGAACAACAGTGACAGGGAAGATGAGGTTGAGCACCATCGGTCACTAGTCCGCAGGTTTGCAGAACCTCAGGTGCTCATCCGCTGGCCTCCTGCCTCCTGGGGAAGTCAGATAACTGACCGGGAAGAGGGTGTGGCCGGCAACACAGTCCCCGAAGGCTTCCCAGCCTCAGGCTACCCCCGGATTCCTTCATTCGTGTGTTAACAGATTCCTAGGTTCTGGTGTTACTACTTCTCTTGCCTTTTAGTCCACTTTGGAAAAATAAATTTCTTCCTGTGACTAGCTCTTTGGACCCTGTAGGATGTGAGAGCTGGAGGCGAGATGTGCATTTCCTCGTAAGCATGGCCACAGGCGCACCCAGCGACCGCTGCCCCCGTCCCCTCCTGCGGGGGCGGGACACTGCGAGCCCCAAACACTGACACGGTGGCCACGCAGCCTTCCTCCCCAGCCATCACAGACATCTTCTTAACAGGGACTTATGTCTAAAGACAGGCTATCCCAAATCTTACCTGGGGGTCCTCAGACAGTGGACAATCCTGGCAGGGAGGTGTGGCCGCAGAGAGGGGAGCCCGCTCTCATCGCCTGTGTGTCCATCCTGTGTGTTCATATGTGCATATGGGCCTATTTCTGAGTCCGTGTCTACATATGGAATTAACCACACAGCCCACCGTCTGCACTTTCTGTCAGGAAGGAAGACTGAAAGATTGGACTCTCCAAATTCCCTCTCTGGTCCTGGGTGCTCAGGCTTGAGCAGGAGTTGGTCACGTGGAAGGGAGCACACGCCCACACAGTTTTGAAGCCTTGTGAGAATGGAACGCTGCCCGGGCTGGCCCCGTTGTCTGCACCACAGGCCCGCTGAGGTCGCCGTCCGTAGGCACCAGAAGATCCGTGTGACTAAGCGCACCCTCGGGGCGCTGGCCCACACCCAGTGGAGGCTGTGTGATTCTCTGTGCAGATTAGTAAACAGCACCCACATCCCAGGCTCCGGAAGGCGGCTGGAGGCTCTGGCCACCCCCACACAGCAAGAGCAAGGTGTTCCCTTCCCGGGGACAGCAGGCAGCTCCCGCCAGGGCGCCAGGCAGGTACCGCGAGGCGTCACTGAGCACCTCTGGGGCCCAGAGGGGCATATTTGCACCTTAGAGGGAAGCTGCTCGGCTCAGAGGTCAGTGGCGTCACAGGCACGGGCTTGGCCCTGACACCTCTCCCTCCTCTCCGCACGTGCGCTCCCTCACGCTGCTCGCTGTAAACCGGACAAACCCTTACTTTGCCAGCTCATTAGCGGTGGCCGGTGTCATTTTTGTGGCGTTGCAGCTAGTAATATGGCCCAGTTGCATAGTCACAAAAGTGATCATTGGAAACTGTGACTCTACTGCAGGGCGTGTGGGGACCTTTCTGAGCCTCTAACGACCTCTGACCTGCTTGCTGTTCCTTGCCGCTCGGGGACCGAGGGTTGGTTTGTCTCACTAACCCTTCCTCCGAGAAGCCCTCCTGTGTCTCCATGTACGGCCTCGCTCACTGACCCTTGGTTCTGATGGTAAAGGAGGCGGCCTCGCGTGGCTCGTCTTAGCGGATACGCTGCCTTGTCTTGGGTCGACCAGATGAACGCTTCTGTTGACTGCGCGCTGTTGTTGCTCTTCTGTTGTGGTGTTTTGCTTTACAATAAACCAAGCACCTGATTCTTTGTCAATAAAATTCCACAGCATAGCAGCACCTTGTACTTGCACTGGCGTCTCCTGGCCCTTTGTCGATAGGCTTAGCACGGGCAGCTGGAGGGATGTTACAATTACAACGAGACCTTCCCAGGTGCTGCTGAGCGGGCAGCCAGCACGCATTGGCGGAAACACCTCAAGTGTATCACAAAGCGAAGACGGGAGAGCACGTTGAGCCCCGGGAGCCAGGGAGGTTTTCTGGCTATGTTTTGCCAATGTGCTGACCAGCCTTAAAGGGGCGCTGTGCAGCGACACCCCACACCCACGTTTTCTGAACCCCCAGTTTAAGGAAGGACATCTGGTTATATTTATTTCCTTTTTCAGTGTCCATGTTTTGTGCTTGGGCCCATCAGAAAAAATGACCAAAGTCTGTGACTGACCAGTGTGTGACCGTGGAGATGTTGAGTGTAGTCCTTACAAATGAGCCTGGGCTATGGAGCGAAGGGGGGTGTACAGCTGAGCCAGCAGCTGAGAAGGGAAAGGGAAACAGCCAGAGACAGAGAAATTTCCAGTAAAACCTTCTGTTTGAACATTGAAGACCTGTAGAACTAGTGCCACCTAATTGTGCCCAACCACTGAGCTTGCTTGATTCTGCACACGCACACAGGCACAGTGCATGCACACACATGTACAAATACAACACATGTACCAACACACATGCACAAATGCACATGAGCATGGTGGACAAACATGCACACATGAATGGATACATGTGTGCGTGTGTGTGCACAAGCCTGCGCGTGTGTGCGTGTATGCACATGCATACACCTGTGTGTGCAAGCACAGACATGTGTGTGCACAATCATGTGTGTCGTGCAGACATGTGTGCACCCATTTGCAAACATGCACACACATGGGTGGACAAGCGTGCTTGTATATGGGCACACACCTGCACAAACAGACGTGCTCACCCTTGGGGTACAAGGTCTGGCATTGGTTTGCTAGCGGTGATGCTCACGTTGCCTTTGCATCTCGAGTAAAAAATGGGAGGTTCAGGAGAAATGAGTGGGTCTCCTTTCCACCTGCTTTACTCTCAAAGGGCCAAGACCCTAAGGCAGTGATGGCGAACCTTTTGAGCTCAGCGTGTCAGCATTTTGAAAAACCCTAACTTAACTCTGGTGCCGTGTCACATAGAGAAATTTTTTGATATTTGCAGCCATAGTAAAACAAAGACATATTTTTGATATTTATTTTATATATTTAAATGCCATTTAACAAAGAAAAATCAACCAAAAAAATGAGTTGCATATTTGCACCTTAGAGGGAAGGTGTCATAGGTTCGCCATCACTGCCCTAAGGCATCTGGCTCCCGTGTACTGTGGGTTTTAATGCATTCACCTTGACTTCCCCACCACTCCCGAGGTAACGTTGCAACGTACATCCAGAGCAAGGAGGTTCCGGCAGAAATGAATATGTGGCCCTGGGGACACTGGGCAGCTTGTTGGCCTGCGTTCCTGAGGCGCCTCATTGTTAGGCCACCTTTGGAGGGCCTGCAACTTTAAACAGCGTGTTCAGAGGCAGCCGCCAAGTCCCAAACCGCCCAGAGCGGGTGGGTGCATGGCCTGTGCAGGGCGCATCTTGTGCGTTCAGGGCTGTCAGCCTCCCTGAGAAGTGCCCCGTCTGTTCACTCCCTAAAGGAGGCAGGAGAACACAGCACCATGCTCAGGCTGCACAAGGTTAACCAAGGCTTTGTCGTGAACCGGTCACCCACCGTCCCCCGATCCTGTCCTCTCAGGTTGTTGGGTTTGTACCAGAGCAGCCAGTTGATTAAAACTTTTATTGATTTTTAAAGAGAGAGAAAAAGAGAAGGGGAGAGAGAGATCAATGTGTTGTGAAAGAGAACCATCGATTGGCTGCCTCCTGTACATCCCCTACGTCCCCTAGTTGGGATCAAACCCACAACCCAGGCATGTGCCCTGACCGGGAATCGAACTGGCAATCTTCCGGTGCCGGGACGATGCTCACTCAACTGAGCCACTGTTTCTCACTGAGCCAGCAAGCAAAGAAGCGTGACACTTCCCCGTTTCAGGATGAGCAACAAGACGGGCCTGTTACTCTTTTCCACTTTTGCCTCACGGCACCTGCGGTACAAGTTCCAGACTCACCCTCACCGCTCCTTCCAGGATCCAGGCCCACCTCTTTTTCTCTTTTTCTTCATTCAGAGCCATCCACTGAGCAGTTTCATGCCCTTTCTAAACAGGCTGGCTCGTCTCACTGGCTTAAACAATTTTGGAGTTTGCACAGTGAATTTCAGATGAGCCTCTGTCTTGATGTAGTTATAAAATCTCAATCTATGCTTATTGTTGATTTTCATAAATTCTGACCTAAAATCTGCACAATGAAGTTGTTTCCAAACATCCCCAAACTTATTGAAATGGGAAGCATGGAGGGTTCTCCCTTTTCCGCGTCCAGCGCGGCTAGAGAGCGGTCCGGTTCCTGAGTAGGTGCGGCTGGAGATTGAGAAAATGAAAGGAAGAGACAGACACAGAGATGGAAGGGAAAAGCTGGGGCCACGTGGGAATGCTGCCCTTTCTGATGGAGAGACAGGGACCCAGCACCCAGCATGTTTATTTTATACCCCAAATACCAGGAAGTTTCACCAAAGGTCAAGACAAAGGAGATCATGTCCTTTCTTAGATGGGCCGAGTCCTATTCATTCCTGGTGCTTGGCTGGATTTACATAATAAAACCCACGCCCAGGCACCTGGGCAGAAACGAAGGTCAAGCTGAGAACGCTTCTGCCTTTTTGGATCCAGCTGACAGTTTATTACAGAAATGTCCGAGTCCCTTCCCCGGGGCTCTCTACAGGGAAGGCTTGTCTTGAACGCAGTTGCGGTTGCTCCTCATTGGACACCCTTTCAGAGCCACATTTCCAAAGGGACCCTGTAAGGCGCTGTCGGAGACAGAATAAGAGTGTTCCATTCCGACATGATGTCTAGATTGTAAGGGATTTTGAGCAGACATTACAGAACTCTCACATTCCGGGAGGAGTCTGGCTCCCATCACCGTTTTAAAAGGTGGGATTAACGGCAGGAACGAGAGAAGGGGCCGTGGCGGCGGCGCTGCCCCTCGACCTGAGGCCTTGAGTTCTTGCGTATAACGGGGAGAGGAACAAGGGAACGTGCAAGAGCTGTCTGTTTCTAACGCTCTGTTTATCACTGAATATTGAAAAGAAAAAGAAACCTTTGAAAATGTGTGTGTGATTTCGATTTCTTTGTCGAAACAAGCTGCCGCAGACGGGCGTCCCAGCTGCGGTGTGCTTGCTTTGATTTAGTGGTGGTTTGGCTGACGCGGCGGAGATGTCGCCGCGTAACTGTAATTCCTGTCTCTTTTTATTTCAGAAAAGTAAACAAGTGCTACAAAGGCCGCTCTTGTCCAATAATTGTTCACTGCAGGCAAGTACAACCTTTCGCGTGGGTTACCCGCGTCTGCTACTCCCCAACCAACTGCAAAGACAGGGTCGAGCTTTCTGGTGGCTCCACAGTCACGTCCACCTGGTGCAGGTCACGAGACCAGAGAGAGACGCGCTGCCCTCAGCTCCGTGCAGCCGTGCCGTGGGGCCAATAGGGGTGCGCGCACGTGGCGAGCCACCGAGCTGGGCACTAGTCTGTCGCCGCCGGGTTTTCCTAACCCCCGTGGAGCCACCACATGGCATCCGGGGCGGCGTTTCCGAAATGTCGCAATGTCTTGGCCGAGCTGGAACCGTTGCCAACGTGAAGAGCACAGGGCGGTTGTGAGCGGGACAGAACCTGTGATGGCACAGGAGTGTCCACTGCGGCTCCCCGCGTGAGCCCGGCCTTTCAGTGAAAATTCTAGGCTCGGGCCCTCCTGCAGGCCATGCCCACTGGTGAGAGCTGGGAGGATGCAGCCACCTGCCTCGGCAGGAGCCACACCACTTCCTGCAATGACCTTGGAGGCTCCTTTCCGCCAGGAGACGCGTCTCAGCATCAAACACCACGCCTGTCAAGACCTGTGTGTGCACGTGTGTGTGTGCATGATGCATGATGCATGTGTCTATTTCTGTGCATGCCTGTGTCTCTGTGTGTGTGTCTGTCTGTGTGTCTGTGTGTCTTGCATATGTATGTCTCTGTGTGTGTCTGTATGTATCTGTGTGTCTGTGTGTCTGTGCGTCTGAGTGTCTGTGTGTGTCTAGGAGTGTGTGTGCCTGTGTATCTGTGTGTCTGTGTCTGTCTGTGCGTCTGAGTGTCTGTGTGTGTCTAGGAGTGTGTGTGCCTGTGTATCTGTGTGTCTGTGTCTGTCTGTGCGTCTGAGTGTCTGTGTGTGTCTAGGAGTGTGTGTGCCTGTGTATCTGTGTGTCTGTGTCTGTCTGTGCGTCTGAGTGTCTGTGTGTGTCTAGGAGTGTGTGTGCCTGTGTATCTGTGTGTCTGTGTCTGTCTGTGCGTCTGAGTGTCTGTGTGTGTCTAGGAGTGTGTGTGCCTGTGTATCTGTGTGTCTGTGTCTGTCTGTGCGTCTGAGTGTCTGTGTGTGTCTAGGAGTGTGTGTGCCTGTGTATCTGTGTGTCTGTGTCTGTCTGTGCGTCTGAGTGTCTGTGTGTGTCTAGGAGTGTGTGTGCCTGTGTATCTGTGTGTCTGTGTCTGTCTGTGCGTCTGAGTGTCTGTGTGTGTCTAGGAGTGTGTGTGCCTGTGTATCTGTGTGTCTGTGTCTGTCTGTGCGTCTGAGTGTCTGTGTGTGTCTAGGAGTGTGTGTGCCTGTGTATCTGTGTGTCTGTGTCTGTCTGTGCGTCTGAGTGTCTGTGTGTGTCTAGGAGTGTGTGTGCCTGTGTATCTGTGTGTCTGTGTCTGTCTGTGCGTCTGAGTGTCTGTGTGTGTCTAGGAGTGTGTGTGCCTGTGTATCTGTGTGTCTGTGTCTGTCTGTGCGTCTGAGTGTCTGTGTGTGTCTAGGAGTGTGTGTGCCTGTGTATCTGTGTGTCTGTGTCTGTCTGTGCGTCTGAGTGTCTGTGTGTGTCTAGGAGTGTGTGTGCCTGTGTATCTGTGTGTCTGTGTCTGTCTGTGCGTCTGAGTGTCTGTGTGTGTCTAGGAGTGTGTGTGCCTGTGTATCTGTGTGTCTGTGTCTGTCTGTGCGTCTGAGTGTCTGTGTGTGTCTAGGAGTGTGTGTGCCTGTGTATCTGTGTGTCTGTGTCTGTCTGTGCGTCTGAGTGTCTGTGTGTGTCTAGGAGTGTGTGTGCCTGTGTATCTGTGTGTCTGTGTCTGTCTGTGCGTCTGAGTGTCTGTGTGTGTCTAGGAGTGTGTGTGCCTGTGTATCTGTGTGTCTGTGTCTGTCTGTGCGTCTGAGTGTCTGTGTGTGTCTAGGAGTGTGTGTGCCTGTGTATCTGTGTGTCTGTGTCTGTCTGTGCGTCTGAGTGTCTGTGTGTGTCTAGGAGTGTGTGTGCCTGTGTATCTGTGTGTCTGTGTCTGTCTGTGCGTCTGAGTGTCTGTGTGTGTCTAGGAGTGTGTGTGCCTGTGTATCTGTGTGTCTGTGTCTGTCTGTGCGTCTGAGTGTCTGTGTGTGTCTAGGAGTGTGTGTGCCTGTGTATCTGTGTGTCTGTGTCTGTCTGTGCGTCTGAGTGTCTGTGTGTGTCTAGGAGTGTGTGTGCCTGTGTATCTGTGTGTCTGTGTCTGTCTGTGCGTCTGAGTGTCTGTGTGTGTCTAGGAGTGTGTGTGCCTGTGTATCTGTGTGTCTGTGTCTGTCTGTGCGTCTGAGTGTCTGTGTGTGTCTAGGAGTGTGTGTGCCTGTGTATCTGTGTGTCTGTGTCTGTCTGTGCGTCTGAGTGTCTGTGTGTGTCTAGGAGTGTGTGTGCCTGTGTATCTGTGTGTCTGTGTCTGTCTGTGCGTCTGAGTGTCTGTGTGTGTCTAGGAGTGTGTGTGCCTGTGTATCTGTGTGTCTGTGTCTGTCTGTGCGTCTGAGTGTCTGTGTGTGTCTAGGAGTGTGTGTGCCTGTGTATCTGTGTGTCTGTGTCTGTCTGTGCGTCTGAGTGTCTGTGTGTGTCTAGGAGTGTGTGTGCCTGTGTATCTGTGTGTCTGTGTCTGTCTGTGCGTCTGAGTGTCTGTGTGTGTCTAGGAGTGTGTGTGCCTGTGTATCTGTGTGTCTGTGTCTGTCTGTGCGTCTGAGTGTCTGTGTGTGTCTAGGAGTGTGTGTGCCTGTGTATCTGTGTGTCTGTGTCTGTCTGTGCGTCTGAGTGTCTGTGTGTGTCTAGGAGTGTGTGTGCCTGTGTATCTGTGTGTCTGTGTCTGTCTGTGCGTCTGAGTGTCTGTGTGTGTCTAGGAGTGTGTGTGCCTGTGTATCTGTGTGTCTGTGTCTGTCTGTGCGTCTGAGTGTCTGTGTGTGTCTAGGAGTGTGTGTGCCTGTGTATCTGTGTGTCTGTGTCTGTCTGTGCGTCTGAGTGTCTGTGTGTGTCTAGGAGTGTGTGTGCCTGTGTATCTGTGTGTCTGTGTCTGTCTGTGCGTCTGAGTGTCTGTGTGTGTCTAGGAGTGTGTGTGCCTGTGTATCTGTGTGTCTGTGTCTGTCTGTGCGTCTGAGTGTCTGTGTGTGTCTAGGAGTGTGTGTGCCTGTGTATCTGTGTGTCTGTGTCTGTCTGTGCGTCTGAGTGTCTGTGTGTGTCTGTGTCTGTGTGTGTGTGTGTGTCTGTGTGAGCCTGTGTGTCTCTGTGTCTTTCTGTCTGTGTCTGGGTCTGTTGGTCTGGGAGGAGAGGAAGAGAGCAGAGACAATCTGGTTTCCTCAAAGCCAAGAATGGGCCCCTTTACCCACGCAGCCCAGCCAGCAGCTGGCTGGAGGGTCGGTGGTCGATCTCACACACTCGTGTGAAGTTTGTGTGGAAGAGAAGTGAGCAGACCCGCTGAGGGAGGGGTCCCTGGAGGGAAGCCGGGGGGAGTGCAGGGGGAAGAGTCACCTTCCCGGCCGCAGCTTTTTTAACCACTTGTTTGAGGAAACACGTCAAAGCCAAACACGGTGGGTCTTGCTACCGGCTCACAGTGACTCCTGGGATCCTGCCATTCTAACCCGAGACCAAGAACGTGATTCCTCCTTTAGTCATGGAACTCCTCAGGTCTTTTCCTTAAAGTCACCTTGGTTTTGCCAGGAGTATCCATGTAAATCCTGCGTTTGAAGCTGCTCAGGGTGGCACGTGCCTGGGACAGGAGTGGTCCCGCGTGGCCTGAGAGGAGAGGGTGGGGTCTGGCATCCCATGTTCCTCTGTGTGCTGTTGTGAGGCACCATTCAAACATGTTCCCGCCTGGTCCGGGTGTAAATTGTCCAATGGTTGCTGGGGGTGAGGAGCGGGTGAGCGGAAATGTGAGGAGGACGAGGGACTGTCCCCCTCTGCCAGGAGCCCCGGTGTCCTGTGTGGTGGGGCCACCACCCCCACCTGATGTCAGGACCGGCACCTGCCGCGAGGCTGTGTCACAGCTCAGGGCATTCGCCCTGCACACAAATGCATCGCCTGACGCTTCATCCGTTCTTCTAGACAAAATTTACCCCCTCTTTGAGGAACGGATCTACACAGGCACATTGGCTAATCCCTGTCGCTTCCTGCTTCCCTCCCCCTCTCCCCCTCCCCCTCCTGATAATTTTTTTTCCTAATTTCTGTGGGAGATGATATAACAGAAACTTGCCATCTATATGTTCTTCATTTTTGACCCAGTCATATATTAATGAATAGATGTCAGTCTTCTTTATTTGTCTCTGCCTTTGCCGATGTAATGCACACCCCACTTATCTGTGCATTAGCTCATTGCTTATCTGAGTTTTCTGTCTTGCCCTCTGCCCTTTTCCTTGAGTATTGTGTCTACATGGTCTTTTCAAATGCCCGGGTAGTTCTCACCTCTCTCCTTCTGTCAACAGCGATGGCGCGGGCAGGAGCGGCACCTACATCCTGATCGACATGGTTCTCAACAAGATGGCCAAAGGTAAGACTCCGCTTAGCGGGGGGCTTGGAGCAGGATGCGTTGCTATGGCAACCTGCACTCCCAGAGGCCTGGGAAGATGAGCCGTGTGGTCCCTTTTCTGAGTTGTGTGAGCTGTTTGCAGCGAGCGCCGTGATTCCTGAGCTCCTCCTTTGTCCCCGGCGTCCGTGGGGTGGACACCGGGGTTGGCGCACAGGGGGCGCTGGGGAGCAGTGCAGAGCAGGCACAGGGGCCTCGGTCCCCCAGAGCTGCAGCGGCTCAGGGCGGCCTTCAGGCTCTGCCCAGACCATCCCTGTTATGAGCTGTATTTGCAGGAACATTGAGTCCCAGACCTTTGGTGGCGAGATTGTCGCACTAAACCACTTATTTCCCGCAAAGCTCTGCACCCGCTTCCGTGCCAGGGGAGATGTGCGGGCGTCTCCTGGACAAACGGGGTGTCTCCCTAGGAGCCAGCGCTCACCCTCACGGGGTCGGTGCTGACAGGGCTGCACCAGCGCAAACCGGGGGCCTGCAGGAGGGCTTGTCTCAATTCCCTGACCAGCGTCTCCCGGCCATGCCTGGGGGCACCATCCTGTGGCCCCGGCAAGCTCCCAGGCAGCTCGGGAAGGACACTGAGATGGTGACACGATGGTCTCTCTTCCCCGTGGATAAACCGTTCTGTCGCAACACATGCGTGCACACACACTCATGCACACACACAATGCACTTACACACGTGCACACATGCATGCACTCACACTCATGTCCATGCACATGCACGTGCACATGTGCACACATATGTACGCAGTCACACATCCATGCACTCACACACGCATTCACAGATATGCATGTGTGCACACGTATGTCTGTTAAGCCTCCCACCTCCCTGAACATCCCTGCATCCATTGCCCAGATTCCGATTACAGAGATGAATGTCTACACATGTTCACACAAGGGCCAGCAACTCTCAATTAGGCATTTTCCTTTCTCCTTTTTTTTTTTGGTTAAAAAAATAAATGCAACACACTTTTAGCCCAAGATAGAGGTGGGGAGATAGAATCGTAGCCTATTGTTTTTCGTATGAGGACTGGCGAGCTTGAGTAAGTTGCCCAGCGCCCTGCCGCGGCTGGGGAGAACGAAACTGGTTTTCACCAGCAAATGTTACTTTAGCCCTGAGCGAGCTCTGGCTGGCAGCAAGCAAGCATACAACTGGCACAGAACCTGCTCTCGCCTGCGTGTGGCAGCACTTTCATCCTAGAGTCTAGATCAGTGGTCGGCAAACTGCGGCTCATGAGCCACATGCGGCTCTTTGGCCCCTTGAGTGTGGCTCTTCCACAAAATACCGACTTCTGTGCACGGGCCACGAAGTTTCAATCACACTGTACATGCGCGCCCGCACGTGGTATTTTGTGGAAGAGCCACACTCAAGGGGCCAAAGAACTGCATGTGGCTCGCGAGCCACAGTTTGCCGACCACTGGTCTAGACCATCACACAGCCCGGCCTTCAGGGGAGGGGCTCGCTCCTCCCGCCAATGCCACTGCGTCTCATCTTGTCCTGGGAACCTGCCGCCTGGGACTTCGGCTCTCGGTGGAGGCGCAGTTCCTTCCTGGTCACCGCCCCTCCCCGGCCGCCTCGTGCCTGGGGTCTGCCTTCTCCTCACCAGCTACTTCGGAAGAACAGGCACTGGCCTGAGGAGATGCCGCTGTGTTTGTGAGATGGGGACACAGACCCGCGGGGCACACGGCTGCGTCAGGCGGAGCCTGGCTGGTCCGAAGGAAGTTGCCGACCGTGGGACTCGGCTGGCGTGGTCTCCGTATTTGTGGGGGGAGCTGGGTTTGAGGGCGCAGGTCTGCTGCACAGGGAAGCCCCGGGTAGGGCTGGCCTTGTCTTCACTGCCGCAGAACCACTGGCTCCGGGCAAGGTCAGATCCGCCCAAGTGTGGGCGGCTCCTGAGACCCCTCCCCCATCCTGTTCCTGACCTGCCCCCTCTGCTGGGCCTGTGGTGTCCAACCCCCTGACCAGGGCAGCCAGGGTCTCCGGAGAGATCAAAGGGCAGGGCGGCCGAGCTGAGGGCCTTTCCCAGGGCCGCACTGCGTGGCTGCTGGGTTTTGTCCTGACGCAGGCCCGGCTGGCGCCTTTGTCTTCCTGAGACGCTAGAGGCCCGCAGACCCCGTTCATCAAATGATCAAAGGCCCAAAGCCTGGACGCAAAACCTTTCTTCCCGTGTCCTTTTCTGAAAGAACTGAATTGCATGAGGACCAAAGAATGCCTTTGCAGAGCCTCCCGCACCAGCCGGCGTCGGGCCCTGGCTCGGCCTTCGCTGGGCTGGCGGCCCGGGGATTAAGGCTCCTTTGGGGGCATTTGGTAAATAAACTGGGAATAACTGTCTCCTTTATGAGCAGCTGGAAGCGCGGAATAGCTCAGGGTCGCACAGGCTGTGGCGGGAGAATCCGCACCTGCAGGGAGCCTGTGGCCCTTTTATTTCGTGGCTGTGGACGCATTTCTAACCCTGCATTAATTTTGGATCAGGACCCGGGTCAGGGAGCGTGTTTCTCTGTCCTGGAAACTCACCCACGTGCAGCAATGCCTCCAGCAGCGGCTGCCAGGCTGTGTCGCCAGGGCACCTCTGTGTGCAGGGTTTGCTTTGTTCTGTTTCAACAGGGCTGCTGTGTGTGTGTGCATGTGCATGTGCGTGCGTGTATGCGCGCGTGCGTGTGAGTGCGCACGTGTGTGTGCGTGTGCGTGTGTGTGTGTGTGTGTGTGTGTGTGTGTGTTTTCAAATAATGGACAATAGTGGAGCTTCCTAAAGATCTCGCTTGTGGGTCATTCGGGGGCACTGCCTTCTGTTCACCTAGGGCCGCCCCTCACCCCCACCCCCCAGCCGCTCTCTGGGTGCCAGCAGCCCAAAGGTGGTGGGGAGGCAGTTTCTTTTGCTGGCCGGGGCCCAGGGACTGGAATTTCCTTCAGGGTGTGAATGAGCCAGCTTCCATTTAAGCTTAGGCTGCTGGGGGTGACGCTGCCCTGTGGAGGGGAGCGGGCGTTCGGGCCCACACGGCCTCCGTCCAGCTCCCTCCCCTCTCTGCCCCCCGCTGCACCTCCTAGGGGGACGGCTGATCCCTGCCAGTGGACCGCGGCGGCCTCCACCTCCTGGCTGCTGGGAACGAGGCCGCCCAAACACCCCTTTAGGTGTCTGCTTCTCCGGCGGGCTCTGCCCAGGAGTGGGATTACCGCGTCGCAGGAAAGTCCCGTGTGTGACTGTTTGAAGAAGCCCGGCACTGGGTCACCATTTACGTTCCCACCCACCGTGCAGGTCCGGCTCCCCCCTCCCCTCCCGCGGGCACTGCTCCGTCCGTCCGTCCCCAGTCCCTCTCCCGGGCGAGGGCCAGCTCGCTGTGCTCAGACTGGTGCTTCCTGCGGGCGGGGCGCTGAGCGCTCCCCGAGTGCTCGTTGGCCATTGGGTGTCTTCTGTGGAGAGACATCTGTTCACGTCCTTGGCTTATTTGTTGTGGTCGTTAATCCTCAACCAAGGATATGTTTCCGTTGATTTGTAGAGAGAGTGAAAGGGAAGGAGGGAGGGAGGGAGAGAGAGATAGAGAGAGAGAGATGTGAGAGAGACACAGTGATTGGTTGCCTCTCACCTGCACCCCAACCGGGACCAGGGATCGAACCTGCCACCCAGGCCCGTGTCCTTGGCCGGGAAGGGAAGCCATGACCCTGGTGTTTGGGCCGACGCTCTGACCACTAGGGCAGCAGCCGGGCTAGATGCTAACTATCGTTCTGTGTTGTTAACCCTCACCCGAGGGTAGTCCTCCATTAATTTTTAGGGAGTGGAAGGGAGAAGGACAAACAGAAACATCCATGTGACAGAAACACATCAATTGGTTGCCTCCTGCACGAGCCCCAACCAGTACTGGGGCCGGGGAGGAGCCTGCAACCAAGGTATGTGCCCTTGACCGGAATAGAACCCAGGACCCTTCAGTCCGAAGGCCGACGCCCTATCCACTGAGCCACACTGTGGGCCAGGCATAGATGTTGACTTCAATAGCAGGTCAAGGCCGCAGCTGGGCCAGGCTTTGGGAGCCAGTGAGCCCGCCTGCAGGGCCCCGCCTGCTGCCCCTGCCCCGCGCCTGGACGTCTACACCGCGCCTGAGCTGCTGCGCTGCAGCCGGGACACGCGGGCAACATGGACGAAGCTCAGTTCCTCACTCACAGGGGCCGCCGTCCGGCCTCCGGGGCGTGAGCTCTCCCACCGCCGCCTGGTCCTCCACCGGGTCCAGTTGGGGGGCGGTGGTCGGGAGAGCTCCCCGCGCCCTCGCGCCCCTCCCTCCTGCCCAGGATGCGGCCTTTCAGGTGGGAGAGAAGGACCCAGCGCTGAGGAAGGTCCTGTGAGCGCGTGAGGGCCGCGGACTGGGGTGGGGGGGGCGGGGCCAGACAGACAGGGAGTCTCGCCTTGCACTCGGCCAGCAGCGAGCTCCAAGCAAAATCGGAGCAGAGCTGACAGCACCGGTGTCCCTCCACCTCGGGCACTGTGAGCCGGTGGCTCTCACCTCCGCTGCACATGAGAATCCCCGGGAACCTTTTTAAACCCTGATTTCTGGCCTCATCCTCCGGACATTCTGTTTCTTTGTTATGGGGCGGGGCCACAACATTGGTAACAGAGAAACAGAATTTCCGGAGGATGAGGCCAGAATCAGGATTTAAAAAGATTCCCAGGTGACTCTCATGTGCAGCTACGGTGGAGAACCGCTGCGTAAGCAATCGTTTCAATACTAACGCTCTTCTCAGGTGTGCTCTTCCGTGGTTAACGAGCTAAGAGCCGCTGTGGCCTTCCGTGGCCTGTGAGCTGGGCAGGCATCGGCCTGCACACTGCAGGGTCTCAGGTTCAATTCCCAGTCAAGGCCAGGTACCTGGGTTGCAGGCTCAATCCCTAGTCCCGGGTGGGGCACGTTTGGAAAGCAACCGATGGCTGTGTCTCTCTCACACCGAAGTTTCTCTCTCCCTCCCTCCCCATCCCTTGCACTCGCTCTAAAAGTCAATAGAAAAAAATATTCTCACGACGGCCAGTGTGGCCCAGTGGTTGAGCATCAACCTATGAACCAGGAGGTCAGGGTTTGATTCCTGGTCGGAGCACAGGCCCGAATTGCAGGCTCGACCCCCAGTGGGGGGCGTGCAGGAGGCAGCCAATCCGTGATTCTCTCATCATTGATGTTTCTATCTCTCTCCCTCTCCTTTCCTCTATGAAATCAATAAAAATATATTAAAATGTATATATGTCCTTGAGTGAGGGACAGGCACACAGCTCTGGCCCCCTCGCTCGCAACGCCACCTCTGACCGAGAAAACTTGTTCTCAGAGCAGCGGGTTTCTGCGAATCATTGTTCCTATGATTACAGGCGTGGCAGGGGGGTCTGTGGGGGGGGCTGTGGGGA